GCAGGAGCTGGGACAAGCGACAGGAGCTCATTCCGTTGTGTGGATTCAATCTGACGACTGCTGGTATTCCGACCTTGCAGCACAGAGGCTTCTCCCCAGCACCCTTTCCCTCAATCCCAAATACTGTTTCCCCCCCTGAGAAAATCATTCCAGAGAGATATTTTGCCATATTTTTAAGGACCCCCAGAATTCCTGACTCCACAGCCTCAAAAAAAAGTTTTTTTATGACTAGTGTGTATGAGGTGGCTTTTTGAGTTTAAACTTTACACTGTACAACTACTGCATAAAAACAAAGGTAAATAAGAACAATAACATTAAATATGCATTAAAACACTTCTTCTCTTTAGCTCCATCATCTTGGGAGTGTTGCCCTTGAGCTGCCAGCAAATTTGAAAAATAGCCCTCAGTCCACTCATTCACTAGATCACTCACACTTGCCTTAGATCACAAATTGCTTCTTAAACCTAGCCCATCATCTTGCTCAGCCTTCCCCAACCTGTATTCAAGACACAAAACGCCGTTACCTTCCCACCGAGGTGGTACCTATTTATCGACTCACATTTTTACATGCTTTCGAACTGCTAGGTTGGCAAGGAGCGGGGACAAGCGACAGGAGCTCACTCTGTCACGTGGATTTGATCCTCTGGTCTCCTGACAGAGGCTTCAGAAGTATAAATTAGAAAAATCGCCCTCCCTTTTCCTCCTGAGAATATTTCAGTGGTCCGGCATGAGAAAGCTAGTCAGGAAGCTTCCTAGAGGATATTTTGAGAGTTGTAGGCCAAAAGAGTAACTTTCCAAGATCTGCAGAGGAGGAAGAAGCAGGCAAGCAGGAAGGAAGTGTAAAAGCTGGGAGAGGTCACAAAGTATGGACAAATATACTTCAGGACATTATCAACTAGGAAGATGCTGTGTGCATAATAGCAAGAAGCTGTTGTTTCTGCAAGTGTAGATGTTATCTCTTTACGGTCGTGAGCCCCAGTCTCTCCCCATCACAGGATGGTGTGAAGGACGAACCGCCACATCTGACTGTTCTGTTACATGTATTGTATAATACATTCCATGTTCAGGTTTATGTACCTGACTGCCATTGTAATTCTCCTATCCCATATCCAAGGCTGGTTTGCTCTCCTTGAATAGCTAATAGGCAGAGACCCATCCCTTTCTAGATTACCTACAGAGCTTGGGAAAATGAATTTTAATTTTTATTTCAGCTCCTAGAACCTAGCAGGGGGATTCTGTGAACCGTAGCCTCGGGGAGGAGACTTTTCCAAGCCCCAAAGTGCTGGCATTTTTATTTCCAGAGCCATAACCATAATAATTGTGTTCCACTATATTCTGACTTATATTCTGACCCTTTCCAGGGTTTTCTAGATACAGAATACAGTGGTGCCTTGCTAGACGATGACAATCCGTTCCACTGAAATCGCTGTTTAGCAAAATCATTGTCTAGCGAAAAGCATTTCCCCATTGGAATGCATTGAAACCTGTTTAATGCGTTCCAATGGGGAAGAATCGTCGTTGTCTATCGAAGATCGGCCATAGGAAAGCCACTTTGCGAACCGCCGATCAGCTGTTTAAATAGCTGTCTTGCGAAGCTTAGGTCCCGAAAACACCCGTTTTGCGAGCACGGAGGGAGCTGTCAAAATTGTCGTCTAGCGAAAATTGGTTTGCGAAGCAGGGACCAAACATTGTCCAGCGAAATTCCCCTGTAGGAATCACTATTTTGCGAATTGCTATAGTGATCACAAAAAGTCAATGTCAAGTGAAAAAACTGTCATGCGGGGTAACTGTCTAGCGAGGCACCACTGTACCGAGAAGCGGTTTGCCATTCCTTCTTCTGGGGGCATCCTGGGATTCTGCAGCTTGCCCAAGGCCATACTTGCAGGAGGCATGGTGGGGTTATAAAATCCCAACCACTGGCTCCGCAGCCAGATACCTAAACCACTGAGCTATCCAGCTAGCTATACCTAAAATATGCCCAGGTTCAGCTATTTCCAGAAACCACAGTGTTTTGAACTGCACACACATCAAATGGTAGCTTTCCTGTCTATTGTAGAAAGCCTAAGAGGGAATCTGAGGACGTCGTGACAGCTTAGTTCAGCAAGTTGATCTCCAAGGGACTATGGCAGATTTAAAAAAAACAAAACCACACACACTCATAATTCTTTTATTTTATACAGTAAATATTTTCCATTACACTACAGCGTCTTCTCAAGTGCTTTTTTCTTCTTTACCAGGCATCTTCTGTTTTACAATCATCTTGAATAAAGAATCCCTGCCTATAACAGACTCTAAATAACACAAATTTAGGACACATATATGACAGCACAGGGAAAGCAAAGACGGAAGAGCGCATAAATACATTTGTGAGAACTTCCAACATTACTCTCCAAAACAGATGCAAAATTATAAATAAAAGAAGTTGATTTAATACAAACCTGGGCTGCAGTCCCAGCATATAATTCTTAGAAGTATGCAGATTTGTGATTTTTGGATTTGCTTTTACAAATCCCCAGGCAGCTAATTCTGACATATGTAGTCCAAAAACATAACTCTTAGCTATCTCTTTCCTTGTTCTTCTTCTAATTGGAGCCATCAAAAAAGCTCCTTGATTCTGAGAAACAGGAAATCCAGTCTGGCAAGGGGACTGTTCAATAGCAACTGCTTCAAACTCGTCCATCCCATACACTTTTTGAAATCTGGCTTCGTGTGCCCGAAATGCCTCCTCCTTTTCTCTCAAGTGCCAAAACTCTGGGCCCTGGAGATGGAAGCGAGACCAAGGCCTCGAGGTGTGAGAAAACCAAGGAAACAGTGATTTAATTCATGGGTGGGAGGTGAAAAGAGCAGGATGTCCAATACTGGAGATCAGGTCAAATGAAAAAGAACTGGAGCATATAGTTGCGGGCTGCTGGAATTGTAGAGGGGGGCACAATAAAGGTGGCAATCTATTCTAGGCCAGGGCTCTAGAAAGCCCCCCCTCCCAACACCCGTCACCATAGTAACTAACTGCCTTGGTAACCAGGCTGCAAAAACCACCACCACCTCATTTTGAGCACCCATCCTTGGTAATCAAGTGGTTGGTCCTTAGCTCCATAGCAACCCAAAGCGACCAAAAACTAAGTTGCAAAAAAAGTTCTCAGCAACAAGAGGCTGATTTCTTCACCTTCTGGTAGCAACCAACTGTTCCTGAGGTTTCTAATTCTTTGCACCCCTTAGCAACAAGGAACCTTTACGCCCCCTGGCCGATGTCATCCCACCTACACCGAAAAGAAAATCCGTTCTTTTCCCAAGCAGCTAAATCTGCCCAGTTACCGACCAACTCTTGAGAACCATTAGATTCCAGGAAACAAAACGAGGCTCATCCACAGGTTTGATGCGCACAGAACTCTAAATGTGCAAGTTTGAACCTTGCAGGGTAGGCCGGCATCTTCCTCCATGACCTTTAGGTCTCCCTGGGACAGAAATGGTTATGGACAGAGAAATTTTTCAAGCATGCATCTCTTGACAGGTCCTGCCAAAATTCCTATCTAAACTTCTGCAGGACCAGAGCCAATGAGTATAGACAACACAGATCGACTAATGGAATAATTTGATATGAAGACAGCTTGAGTATTCCTTTGTTGTTGTTTAGTCGTTAAGTCGTGTCCGGCTCTTTGTGACCCCAAGGACCAGAACAGGCCAGGCCCTCCTGCCTTCCACTGCCTCCCGGAATTGGGTCAAATTCATCTTGGTAGCTTCGATGACACTGTCCAACCATCTCGTCCTCTGTCGTCCCCTTCTATTATTGCCTTCACACTTTCCCAACATCAGGGTCTTTTCCATCAGGCGTTCCTAGCCCTCTTCAAAAGGGTCCCCCATGGGTAAATCCAGGGGTGCACAAAACATATAAGCTCTCATGGAAAGCTAGTCTGGCAGGGGGCTTTGTGCACCCCCAGCTATAATTAAAGGCAGCACAGTCTTCATACCAATAGGTATTCTCTGTGAAAACTAGGCCTAAATACAAAGCTTGGAAACATTTCCGCTTTTGGCCTACACCTCTCAAAATACCACAAGGCGAGGATTCTGACAACGTGTAGTTCAAAACTCTAATTTCCCCAAGATTTTTATAGATCTGAACTACCGCCATCCCACCACCATATCCCTGGTTGTAGTGGAACACCTCTAGACTGCGGAAGGCTGGTCTAACAAGAGCTGCCCACCCACAACCTGTGCCCTGGAGGCTAATGTTTCCACTGACGCACCGGGGAAACCACTACGCTTCTCCTTCTGCCAGCTGCTGCTCAAGACTTGGCCTTCAGGAGCCATACAAAGATGGCTGCTAAATTTCCCGACTTATCTCCCATCCTATTAACCAAATAACCTTTCATCCATGATCATGGGAACTAGTCAATTAAGAGGAAACAGACCACCTTTGCCATGATCTTCCAATGACCAAAGATTTGCTAAAGCTTCCGCAGCTTGAATGGCCTGGACACCAACTCTGCCTCCTTTTCCTTAGCTGCCGGAGAGATCTTAGGAAAGGAGGCCTGCCATCTCACATCCTTCTTTCTGGGAAGCAGCAGGCCCCAAAAGGCCAAAGTAAATTCAACTACCATCCCATCCGATCTTGGCGTCCGTGCCTGTGACACCCAATTCTCTCTGCCTGAATTTCCTTAGTAATCCATCCATCCTTCTCCTTAGCAACTGGTCACCCATGGTAACCAAATGGCCTAGCTCTGTTGTCCTGGTAACCACTACACTGCCCTAGAATACTATTCTTATGGGCCACTCCATACCAGAAACAGAGTCACTTCTGACAACCGTTCTTCCACCCACTTTCTTCATCGGTTTCAACCTAAAGAGTTGATTTTCCCCAGCAGAGGGTCCCATCAACCTCTTTGCTGCAGTGATCGATTCACTCTTACAAAATTTCGAGTTGTTCGGTCATCTCGGTAGCAGCGTGTCCTAAGGACCAACGTCCTTCTGGGAATCAAAGAACTGTCACAGGATCCATAGCCTTGTTTCTGACCATGCTTAGATTTATTCTACCCCCCACTGCCACCCCATAATCCTCATGGAGTGTGGGTCAATGTGAGACGCAGGCTGCAGGGGTAGTGACAACATGGAGGATGCCAGGGAGGACCCAGCCAACGATGGTGGCCTCTGGAGAGACAGGATGCGTCTTGAGTCGCTCTCTCCCTCGCCTGACAGGCAGGCAAATGCCGTCCAGATGCCCCGGGGGCGTGGCTTATCCCCAGGGGCCGGAGCCAAGTCGCCATGGACACGCTGGTGGCGAATGAGAGTGGAGGACCGGCCGAAACTCTTGCCACATCGGGCGCAGCGGTAAGGGCGGGCCCCCGTGTGGGCCCGCTGGTGGACCGTGAGGTAGGAGCTGTCACCGTAGCGCTTGCCGCAGACGTTGCACTGGAACGGCTTCTCGCCCGAGTGGATCATCTGGTGCCGGATCAAATGGGAGCTCTCGGAGAAGGTCTTCTCGCACTGGGCGCAGCGGTAAAGCTTCACCCCCGTGTGTGTGCGCTCATGACGCGCCAAGTCCGACCGCTGGGAGAAACTCTTGGCGCACGACCGGCACCCAAAGGGCCTTTCCCCCGTGTGCACGCGCTGGTGCCGGATCAGGTGCGAACTCAGAGTGAACTGCTTCCCACAGTCAGGGCAGTCGAAGAATCTCGGGGGAGGAGCCCCAAGGAGGCGGTAGTCCAGGCGGGAGTGACAGCTGCCCCAGGGAGGTTTCTCCCGTGTAGCCTTTTTCACTGGAGACTTGGCGTTTTGGCTCCCATCGCTGCCTCCACTACCTTCCAGAGCCTCGCAGGCCTCCTCCCAGTCTAACGGAGCGAGCAAGGAGGGATTCTCGGTGTCAGGGCCATCCGGTGTAATGGGGAATTCCTCCTCCTCTTCTTCCCACTCTTCATTTTCACTGGTTGTCCCCTCATCTGGTGAGACATAAGAGGAGAAGAACACAACGGAGATGTATTTGTTATTTCATTATTACATTGATGCCTCCTTTCCTCCAGGGAGCTCAAAAGCAATATACATGGCTCTCCTCCCTGCCCCATTATATCCTTACAACCTCCCTCCGAGGTAGCATAGATCCGTCTGAGAATGTATGACGGGCCTGAGGTTGCCCCTGATGTTTCAGGGCCAAGCATGAAACTGAAAATTATAAAGTATCAATAACAATGTGGTTCTCCAACAGGTTTCCCTTTTCTAATTAGGTTGCAACTTAGAAAGGCCCAAAACACTTTGAGACTCAGAAAGTTCTCAAACGCAGAGGCAAGCAGAATAAGAGACACACTATACAGATTAATGGTATCATTGAATTTCTCAGTATGTGATTACTGCTTGCAGTTTCTTTACTCTGACATTTCTTTATCTTGGACATTTGCTACAGGTTTCTTTTTCTATTTCCGACTGTTTGTATTCCATCTCATGATGTAGCCCCATTCTTATGTCTGAGGAAGTCGACTTGTCTACAAAAGTGCATATTCATATATAGCAGCTAGTCTTTAATGTGCCCCCTTGTTTTGTCTTCTTTATTATTTTTTTTCTTGTGTTTTCGGCCTAGTATTCTTGTCATAGTCAACTGCCATCCTTACTCAATGCAACTGTCATGACCATACCTTTGCAAGCTGAAAGGTCACAACCAAGCAGATTAATAAAATAACTGCATTTAAAACCAAACACAACATATTCGTTACCTATTGATGAAGAGATGATGGATTAAATATTTGTTATCACACTACTACAACACTCTGACTATTAAACCACACTGGCTCTGGTTTTTAAAATACTGTATACAATTTTTTAACATCCTTTTTACATTACATCAGGCACAACACAAATGAAGCCACATAATAATTTCAATAATCACTCTACTGACGACTTACAACTTGATAGTTCAGCTGGCATTTTTAAACACCCTGTGGTCTTCTCCAAATTTTGGTGTGCAGAGCTGTGAGTTTCAGCCAGCATGATTGATGGAGATTATAATCCAACAGCCTCTGAGAATCCAAAATTAGGAGTTGCTGGCTATTTTAAGCCTTATCCAATAAATAGTTTACATCGAATAAAAGGTTTTTTTTTTAAAAAAACTTTATTAGTCACTTTGGATAGCAAGCCTATTCATGAGTTATGAATTTAGCTTAATCCTCATCCACAAAAATAATAATTTAAAAAAAAAACTTGCAGTGAGTTGTATTTTCAGACTCCATAGGAATTTTACCATACACAGCAAGGATAGAATTGGAGTTTCACTGATACATCTTATATTTCCTAAGAATTCCAACACCTCATCTATTAGTCACTTTGGATAGCAACCCTATTCATGAGTTATGAATTTAGCTTAATCCTCATCCACAAAAATAATAATTTAAAAAAAAAACTTGCAGTGAGTTGTATTTTCAGACTCCATAGGAATTTTACCATACACAGCAAGGATAGAATTGGAGTTTCACTGATACATCTTATATTTCCTAAGAATTCCAACACCTCATCTGAATGGGGCCAACTTATTAACAACAAGAATACGTCACTTCTGCTTCTCAACATGACAGGCTTCAAACAAGAAGAAAAAACATGGGATTTTTGTGTGTGTCACAATAGACTGCATTGTCTAGAACCAAAAAGTAGCTCAGTGGCCAAAAAGAAAAACTACATATGCTTGTACAGTGGTGCCCCGCATAGCGAGGTTAATCCGTTCCGGATTAACCCTCGCTATGCGGAATCGTCGCTAAACGGGTAGGGAAAACGTATTGAAACGCATTAAACTTAGTTTAATGCATTCCAATACCTTGCTTACTTACCCGTTCAGCGAGGATTCCCCTTGCCGGCAGCCATTTTCGCGCCCTCGCTATACCCGCCGCAATACCCGATCTTCGCAATGCGGGTTTTCCCCATTGCGAAGATCGGGTATGTTTCCGTATAGCGATCCCGAAAAAGGGATCGCTATACGGAAACATCGCTATACGGTGCACTCGCTAAGCGAGGCACCACTGTATATTCTTTTTGTCCCAGATATCTGTGTCAAACAAACAAACAAACGAAACCCTGAACATAATATGTGGCCAAAATATGGGGGAATTGTTTATATTCTTCAGATGACATTGTCAAATAATGCCGGCTTTCTTTTGTAGGGTCTGGTTCTGTATGAATTCTGCCATAAAATGTGATCCTTGCGTGGCTAGAGTGCCCCATCCACATAGAGAAGAGTGAAATAAATGGGTAAGGATGGGGACAGTGCTGGCCATCCCACCCTCTGTTACAGCTTCTCTTGATCTCCACATGTGGAAAGGGACTTTCTGAGCAGGGAGGTCCTTTGTACACCTCAAGACTCTTGACATAATTCAGAAGGCTGATCATCCAGCATGAGAGCCTCAGTATGTAGGGTTCTCCTCCTCAGAAAGCTGTTCTCTGCATGAGGAGGGCCAAAGAAGCGGCACTGCTGTACACTTCTACTTCAGTGTCAACAGTAAGGGTAAAGGTTCTCCTCGACATTTAGTCCAGTTGTGTCCAACTCTAGGCGCAGCGCTCATCCCCGTCTCCAAGCCGCAGAGCCAGCGTTTGTCTGTAGACAGTTTCTGTGGTCACGTGGCCAGTGTGACTTAGACACAGAACGCCATTACCTTCCCACCGAGGTGGTCCCTATTTATCTACTCATATTTACATGCTTTCGAACTGCTAGGTTGGCAGGAGCTGGGACAAGCGTCGGGCGCTCACTCCACTGAGCAGAAAGGTCCCTTGTACACCTCAAGACTCTTCACGTAATTCAGAAGACTGATCATCCAGCATACTGAAGTGCGTTGAGAGCCTCCGTATGTAGGGTTCTCCTCCTCAGAAAGTTGTTCTCTGCATGAGGAGGGCCAAGGAAGTGGCACTGCTGTACACTTCTACTTCAGTGAAAAGCTAAAGGTTCTCCTCGACATTTAGTCCAGTTGTGTCCAACTCTAGGCGCAGCGCTCATCCCCGTCTCCAAGCCGCAGAGCCAGCGTTTGTCTGTAGACAGTTTCTGTGGTCACGTGGCCAGTGTGACTTAGACACAGAACGCCATTACCTTCCCACCGAGGTGGTCCCTATTTATCTACTCATATTTACATGCTTTCGAACTGCTAGGTTGGCAGGAGCTGGGACAAGCAAAGGGAGCTCACTCCGCCGCATGGATTCGATCTTATGACTACTGGTCTTCCGACCCTGCAGCACAGAGTCTTCTGCGGTTTAGCCCGCAGCACCACCACGTCCCTTTTAGTGTCAACAGTAGTCCCTGCCAAAATGCCAGAGGCTGAATCTGGCCCTGTAAATAGCTTTTCCCTGCACCCAAAGTAGCAAGCATCTAAACAGGCAATCTGGAGAAGACATGGGATGAACCAATTTTGAAAGCATCACCAGTACTCACCTGTGGGAAACAGTGTCCTTTTTAACCAGTGATACTTAACAAGGACTGAGACATACTGTGGAATCCCAGCAGCTGGAAAATCAACAGCTAATAAAGTGCCAGAAGTCATCAAGATACAGTACCTGCAGTACAGATAAATGAGTTGTTGTCCACAAAGCAAATCTAGTATCAGTGGAGGTGAAGGACAGGGCCTTTCTTGTCTCTCTCTCTCATAGTACTAGAACCCACGGGGGTCACCCACATATGGCAAAAAGGAGTGTGTGTGATTTGGGACAGACGGAAAATAAGCATTTTGTCTCATCTGCTCCCCCAAGATGGAGTGGTGGCCATCAACCTGGGTTTGTTTAGATCTATGAGCAACATCGCTATCCATGGCTATATAATTCCTCCAGTATCAGAGGCAGGACACGGGGGTGTGGTGGGGAGACGGACATAAGGAGGATGCAATTACACTCACATCCTGTTTGTGGATTTCACATATGCATCTAGCATCAAAAATGCCCTATATGCATCAGTTTAGATCCCAACCCACTAGGTGGGAAGGAAGAGTGAGGTCAGGAAATAAAGTAAGGAAAAGTGGGGAACAGAAAGAGAAAAGAAGGTGATGGAGAAAGAATTTAGGTATTTTGGCCTTGTTCATCCCTAGCTTGAAACTTGCAGATTCCAAGAAAGATCACTCAAAAATAAATGCTGGCCAAATGTGATAGCAGACAGAACAAGGGATACTTTCAAAGATTTTGCTGATCTTTTCCTAGCCTCTCCCTGCTCCGAGAGGACTTTTCTGCTCCCTTACCTTTATGAGCAGCTCTCATGCTTTCCATCTCTTCTGATTCTTGGTGCAGATCTTGTCTGGGGGCTTCCAGTTCTTCCTGTTGTTCCATCCAGGAGATCATATTGGGTTTAACTATATAGGGAATCCTGTTTGGGATGGCAAAAATAGTATGTTAAATCCTATACTTAAATCCTTCAGGTTTCCTATTCCTCTAACTTCCCCAAGACAAGTATAGAAATGTATGGACATAATTTCAAACCAACAGAACATACATAGCATTCTATAATTATTTTAAGCTTATTTTTAGTAGTATGATCACTGGAGTTTGTAGAAACATTCCAGGGCAGCTGTGCCCAGTTTCTAACTTTACAAAGTCATTTTTTACATCTGTTTCCCCTTTCTGTTTTTATATTGTCTGCTTTAATATTGCAAGTCACCTTGGATATTCTTGAGGACAAAGGCAGGGGATAGATTGAATAAATAAATAAATAAAAATGTAAAGAGATCTTTTATTTTCTTAGCAAGCACTGAATGGTGAACAGTGTTAACAGGTATAGATCAGTAACCACCAGGAAACCTTAGCTACCAAACCTACTTGGCTATTGTTTCGAAAGTTTTCTTGCCTGGACTACAGCACTCACATTTCACCAGGCAATACTGTCAAGCTGGCTGGGGGATTCTGGGATCCATCGCCCCAAAAAAAGAGGAATTGTTCTGTGCTCTGAATTCAGTCATAAAATTCATGAGCTGTCTTTTCGCAGAGCACTCTGTCAGCAGACAAGCTGTGGCGGGGCCATCCCAAGGCATTCTGCTGCCCCACATCAAGGACAAGATACAGTGGTGCCTCGCTAGACGATGATAATACATTTCACTGAAATCGCTGTTTAGCGAAATCATTGTCTAGCGAAAAGCATTTCCCCATTGGAATGCACTGAAACCTGTTTAATGTGTTCCAATGGGGAAGAATCATTGTCGTCTAGCGAAGATTGGCCACGGGAAAGCTGCTTTGCGAACCACCAATCAGCTGTTTAAATCGCTGTCTTGCGAAGCTTAGGTCCCGAAAACACCTGTTTTGTGAGCGCGGAGGGAGCTGTCAAAATCGTCGTCTAGCGAAAATCAGCTTGCGAAGCAGGAACCAAACATTGTCCAGCAAAATCCCCCCATAGGAATCACTGATTTGCGAATCACTATAGCGATCGCAAAAAGTCAATGTCTAGTGAAAAAACTGTCATGCGGGGTAACTGTCTAGCGAGGCACCACTGTAACAGCTTTCCCATTCTGATCCACCTACTGATAAGCCACCCAAGAGAAAAATGATCAATCTAAAAGACATGCCACACATTGAACTACCATTTGTTGAACTACGGATAAACAAATATTTGGACCGTGCAACAGAAATAAGAATATTCATGCTCAAGAGAAGATAACCCTCAGCTAAATCAAGCAATCTGATTTACCTTAAGACAGGCATTATATATATAAGCTAAATCAGATTGCTTGATTTAGCTGGGGGTTATCTTCTCTTGAGCGTGAATATTCTTATTATATATATATAGGTTACTACTGGCAAAGAGCCTGATCTACCTGGTGGGGAAAGAAGACATATACAGTATAAGCCGCCTTGAATTCCTTGGAACCGAGCGTGGCTGTTTCCTCCGGGATGGTATGGAGACCCCAACCGTCCCACCTGCAGACGTTAGCCGCCCAGAGTGGTAGAATATACCAGATGGGCGGGATATAAATCAAACAAATAAAATAAACAAAATAATATTTTTGGAGCCAACTAAAGCAGTGTGTGTGTGGGGGTGCCAGGCTGCGTGCAATTTCCCCCCACCCCATATACAGCTGGCAGAGTCGATCAAAGACCTTCCAGACCCACAACAATTTCCTACCACCCTTCCAGCTTTGGCATGCATCGTATGGCCAAAAATGGGGGGTGGGGGACACCCACTTACCCACTAGTGCTGCTCCATTTAGGGTTCTGGGCGATCCAGTCCTCTCTAAGGGATCCTTTCTG